AAATGACAGTGTGCTGCTGAAAGCACTATTTTCACATCTAAATACAATGAAAAATAAGTCACACTCAGATAGTACCTTCCTCTCATGAGGTTCACGTATGACAGCCGGTCTCTGTCTATCCCTTGGCACTTTGCCTGCCTTTGCTTGGATCTTGGGTTTGTTCTTAAATGGCAGAGCCTTCTGCAAGGCCTTTGGAATGTGCAGTGAATTAAAATGCTTCTTTTGTCTCAGGATTGGCTGAAAAGGAAAAAATAAAACACAGATTATACTTAAAGTGTAACTTATATGTACTTAAAACTATTAGCTAAGATCACTGACTTTCCTACAAACTCAGTCACACTAGCATCTGCTAACTATCAGAGATCAGAGTTCAGTGGGTATACACAGCAAGGCAACAAAGAGTGCATGCCCAACGTTCATGGGTACTCTGAAACTCAGCTGGGCCTACTTGAACAGAGTAGAGCTATGGGGTCTTCAACAGAACATAAGAAGAGGTTCTAAGTATCTCAGTAGAGAACTTGGGCTTCTCTCTGGGAATTTGAGAGGTTTTCTTCTAGCATAACAAGGATAGTCTAGCTTCTTGCTGACTTGTCAACTTCTATTCCTCAGCAATCAAAGCTTAACTCTGATTCTGACTAAGATTTAACCAGCACACACGGCACAATCCAGACACTGAATTCTATGTTCAAATTAAATAGTCTGACTTGGATGTTAACCACTCCAGAGATTACTGTAAACAGAGTTCAGCAGGAGCCAAGCCAAAGATGAAAAAAGCAAGTGTGTGGAGAACATCGCCCACAATGTCCCTCAGAATCCTGGTTAAAGAACTCAGATAAAAGTCTCCCAAAAAGGAGGTGGAGCCTCCCTGGAAGTGGGTCACTGGAGACAGGTCTTGAGGGCCTATAGCTTGGCCCCACTTTCTGACCCTCTGCTTCCTGACTGTAGATACAATTTGATGAGCCATCTCTTGATCTTACAACGTCTTCCCCAGCATGACCGACTCCATCCTTTCTTAAAATGTGAACAAGCCCAACCCTTCCTCCCTAAGCTGTTTCTTATCAAGTATGTGGTCAGAGTAATGAGTTAAGTAAATAATGGACCCTGCTAATAACTTCAGGACACACTAGGGATCCTACACTGGAACTGAATACATGTGCAACCTAAAAGCAGTTAAAATAGCAGAAATAAATCTTTCTCTAATGTACATAAAGTAGCTAGGTGAATTTTTAAAAAGACAGATCCTATTACATGCTACCTAGCAGAAATACAATTTGTTGTTAAGAACACCTAAGTTAAAAGTGAAGGGATAGAAAATATTCAATGCCATGAATAACACAAAACTAACAAAACCCATACTCCTTACAGTCTCTGGATCCATTATCCACAGCCTAAACAATAAACAAGGTAATTTAAAGAAGGGACCAATAAAAACTCTCCCATTTACATCATCTCCCCTCATTTCTTACAGGATTCCACTCAAAAGAACTGACTGAAGCCATTAATACATCCAGTGCCATCACCTGTGCCCTTTTAATTACATTAATCATTACATCCCTAACAGCTGTCTACAGTATCTATATTTTCTTTCATCTGCTTACATCAGAGAAAATAGATTAAGTCAAAAACAATTACAAGAGGGGCTGGAGAGATGGCTCAATAAATAAGAGCACTTGCTGCTTTTCCAAAAGACCCAGGTTCAGTTCCCAGCACTACAACCACCCATAACTCCAGCTCCTGGAAGTCCATTGCCTTCTTCTGGCCTCTACAGGCACCAGGCACACACATGCTGCAGAGGCATGCAGAGGCAAGACATCATACACATAAACCAGTAACTGACAAGTGGACCTTATTAAATTCAAAGAAAACTGCTAACCAAATGAAAAGACAGGCTACAGAATGGAAGAAAATCTTTGCCATCTATACACCTGGCAGATGACTAATAGAATAAAGAACCCCAAAAACACTATAAACAAGAAAGCAAACAACTCCACCCAATGAAAATAGATTCCTCAAAGCAAGAAATACAATGGGTATTAAATTACTTTTAAAACTATTCAACATCCTGACTATCAGGGAAATGCAAATTGAAACTGCTCTGAGATTCCACCTACCCCATTCAGAATGCTATTATCAAGATGACAAATGACAACAAATGATGTGTATAGAAAGAGGAAGATTTGTTTACTGATGACAGAGTATAAACTGTTCTGCCATTATAGAAATCAGTGTGAAATTTTTCAAAAAGCTAAAAAACAGGTAATCCATATATATGACCCAACTGTACCACTCATGGACAAATACTCAAAGGATTCTATATCAAACTACAGAGGTACTTATGTTCATGTTTACTGTAGATCTCTTCAGAACAGAAGAAAACTATAGGACAACATCTATGATGAAAACCTAGAACAACTTCTATTATGAAAACCTAGAACAACATCTATATGGTCACTGATGTGAATTCTCCCAAGTATTAGAGGAAATGGGGTCTAAAACTAAAAAGAATTTATCCCTAGGATGCAAGGAAAATCAAACCGATACAAATCAATTAATATGGCTCGCAGACAGCAACGCAATACAGTACAGTGTTCAGCTGGCTTTTCCCATTCTATTCAGGTTTCCCAGTCCGTGGAATGATACCACCCACAGTGGGCAGCTCTTTCAACCAAATCAACATAACAGAGACACATCCCACAGGCCAACCTGACCTAGGCAATTCTTCACTGAGACTCTTCCCAGGCAACTCTGAGATTGTGTCAAGTTGGCAAAACTGACTTACAAAATGTAAGATAAAAACCATATGGCCACCTCAACTAATCAAAACAAACCTGGCCAAGTCTAGCACTCTTTCTTAATAAGAACTTTAAACAATTTAGACACAGAACAAAGTTCTTCGGTATAACAAAGACTATATGAATATATAACACCATGATCAACACGGAGAAATTTGAAGTTTTGCCTCTAATATTTGCTACTGTAGTCAATATAATACTGGAGTACTTGTAAAAGTAACTAGATACAAAAACATCTGAATTAGAAAAATAAAATATTCTCTATTTATGGATAGAATTCACTGTAGAAAACCTCAAAGATTCTCCTCCCTTTAAAACAATAAAATTATGTTGCATAATAAAAAAAACCTAGTATATAAAAATACATAGTATTTGTAAAGGAATTGAAATTAAAACAATATATGATGCCACAAAAAAAAAAAAGCCACATATAGGCACTTAGGAATAAACTTGCCCAAGGATGGGCAAGACTTACTCTGATAGTATAAACAACTGATGGAAGAAACTGAAGACGTGAAAGATAATCTTGTCAATGACTTGGGAGAATACTGTTATATGTGCACCTAAAGCAATTTACAGATTTGATGCAAACCCTATCAAAATTCCATAGGAATACAAAAACAAGCCTAAAATGTGTAAGTAAATATAAAAAACAAAACAATAACAAAAACCAAATGCCCAAGGCAATATTAAGGAAAGTAGAAAAAGGTTAAAGATATCACATTTCCTGATCTAGGGAGGGGCGCTATGAAATGCATCTTCTGGACATGTCAAGGCTATGTACTCATGAGCCTACAGTGGCTGTGGTTATCTGCATGGACCTCCCCAGGAGCAAGCCAGTCAACACTCCAGCATTGGGGGTGGGGCGGTGACAAGAGGCCCCACCTCTAGCTGAGGAGCTACTAGTATTTGATGACTACTGGAGAGAGAAAGTAATTGTTCTGGGGGTACAGCCTATTGCCTAAACCCACATGGATTCAGTAGGTTGTTCTTTAAAAATAAAGAAGAGGACATGAAGGTGTGAGGGGGGGACTTAGAAGAAGTACAGGAGTATCTGGGGATAGATATGATCAAGATACATACATATACATATATACATACTGCTGAGGAATATTTAACTATGCAAAGATATGTTGCATTTCTTTAACTATGTAAAGATGTATTACATTTGTTTAATTATGTAAAGATGTGCTGCTGTTTTATCTTGCCTGCCTAAGGCACCTGATTGGCCTAATAAAAAGCTGAACAACCAATAACAAGTGAGGAGATACAGGTGGGACTTCCAGGCAGGGAAAGTAAGTAAGAGGAGTAATTTAGGCTTGGGGAAGAAAGAAAAAGAGATGACAGGGAGATGCCAGGAACCAGTGAGCCAGACTTGGAGGAAGTAGGAAAGTAGGACATACTGAATGAAAGAAAGGTAAAATGCCCCACAGCAAAAACAGATTAAACTAAGTTAAAAGATCTAATGGAAGAAGCCTAAGCTAAGGTCAAGCATTCATAATTAACAATAAGTCTCTGCATCTTAAGAAAACAAAATGAGTGATGAGAAGAGGGAGACGGAGGTCAAAAGACACAGAATGGCAGAAATGCAGGATGAGTGTGACAATACCCAGAGGGGAAGAAGTCGGATATATACAAGAACCATAATTTATACAAATGTCTTGTATTTGGGATTTTTTAAAAGTAGATTTTTAAGTAAGGGGGTGAAATGGCAGAAATGCTCATCTGCTCCACCCATAGTACATAACCACCTTGCCAAATCCATATCTCACAATGTCATTAGTAATTCTCAAATAAAACATCATGATCTTACAAAATGTTTTAACTTCATTTCCAATTCTGAGAAAACCACTGCCACCATTTTTGTACTCCTTCTCCAAAACAGCAAACAAATACACAACTGTTCAAATCAAATTTAGCACCAGACTTTATACTTGAAAATACAAGTCATCAGTAAGACATTACAGGGTTGGTGGGTTAGCTCATATGCAAAGCACTGGGTTTGAACTCTAGGCCATAAAAACTAAGAATATTATAATAAAACACAGACGTGATGCTGTCTAGAAACAGACACACAAGGCCTTTACCTTATACAAGGAGTCTTTGTTTGGCTTTAGTTTGATACCATGGGCAAGCCTCAGTTGATATGTTGTCCGCATTCCTGACCAGGTATCTTTTTCGCCCACTGGTTTCAACAAAGATGTTACGGGATTATAGAAGGCCGGGATGGAGACAGGATACCAAGTTCTCATGAAAACAATATCTACAAGAGGAGGTTTCAGAAGAAGGTTTGTATCCATCTCAAGCAATACACACATGTGTGCACACCCCAAGTCACCCTAACATCTCTACCTTGTTAAACAGTACTGGGAAAAGAACTTAACCAATTAACTACTGCTAACTATCACCAAGCTCTGGGTGTGAGCCCAGCAGGTACAAACACAGTGTGAATCAGCTAAGTACAGGATACTCCAACTGGACAGAGCTGGAGCTGATTATCCTTCTGAAGATCAAAACTCCTAATTAACTACAACTAGAATCAATAACAAACACAGTGTCCTCAACACACATAAGGATTCTTACCACTCATTAGCAACTTGTCCTCAAAGCTGGCCCGGAATGCTCCTTCTGGAGCCCGGAGTGCTTTCTTGATTTGTCCCCTTATTCCACTGACAGTTCGAATGACAGCACCTTCAAATTTGGCTACTTCCAAGGCAGAATTAAACATTCCCTACAGGCAACAAAATAAAACACTCACATAAACATACCTTACCACTTACAGCATGGGTCAAAAAAACAAAAGCCAATTTCACTAGAAGTGAAATTACTAACATCAAAAGTACACCACTCAACTTTATTTTCACTGAAATAACTCTTTACAATGAAAAAGAGGTATTTATGGGTGTGAACTGGCCTAGACAGTCTTGGCATCTTCATTTTTGCAGTGCTGAGAGCCAAACTGTTGGCTTTACAAGCACTCTATTACTAAGTACCTCCCTCTGTATAGAAGCACTCTATTACTAAGTACCTCCCTCAGTATACAAGCATCCTATCAGGGAGCTCCACCTCCTGTCCTTATGATCTTAGCTCTGTGTCTTTAATAGAGACTCCTTCCCAAATGAAACTTTCAAACTACCCTCTCTAAATAGTGTGAAGCTGAGTGTACAGTCTGCTGAAATGTTGTTTGCTGTAAACTGCTTTGTCTACTTTCTACTCAACAATCACACAAATTTAGTATTTTTTTCCTTACCAACACAGCTTTAAAGTAATAAAACCAGTGGGTAAGCCTGTGTTGGCTCTGGACAGTCTTACAAAGAAGTCACAGCTGTAGATACTAAGAACAGTACAAATCAATATAAATAAAACAAAAATATCAAAGGTCAAGATTTCAAATATTTTTCTAAAAATTCTAAACATATACTTTAGAAGTATAGGAAAATCTGCTCTCTAACCCCATTTGATGATTCCCAGTCAAAACAAAGGCACACTTGGAACACTGTCTAACAAGACTTTCATGTGTAGCAATCTAACAAAGACTGTCTGAAGATCAGGATGAAGAGCTAAGCCACTAGTTAACAACGTACCTAGTTAAGAGCTAAGTCACTAGTTAGCCACACACACCTAAGTCACTAATAAGCCATAGAGGTAAGGCAGTGGTGGTGCATGCCTTTAATCCCAGCCCTGGGGAGGAATATAAAGTGGGTGGAGACAGGTGCAGTGTATTCAGTCTGCAGTGAGTCTGAGGAGCAGTACAGTCAGGAGCAGTTTGAGGTTCGGTGGATCGCCCCTATGGTCTGAGCACTGGTACAGGTAAGAACTCTCTAGTGGCTGGCAGCTTTGCTTCTCTGATCTTCAGCTTTAACACCAATATCTGTCTCTGGGTTTTCATTACTTGTGCTACATTCATGCTTGTGGAAAATGTGTATTATGACATACAGGTGAACTTGTGGTTAGACTTCAGTTTCCTTCCCAAAGATAGCCCTTGCAAGCATAAAAATATTTCAAAACCTGAGATGAAAATTCACATTGGGAATATTGCTAGCTCTAAACATTTCAGATAAATAAAGAGTATTCTAGTCTTTCCTTAACAATATATAATGTATAACATATGAATATATGGATATACAGACCTTAATAAATGAAGTATTCTTGAATATTTTATAAGGAAAACCAGTCAGCTTTAATTTCTTCACAATTTTTATGGATTTATCCAGGTCAAGGACAACTCCAGTGGCAGCAATCCGAAATTCAGGCTAAAAGGAACCACCAAAATTTGAAAATAATAATAGCAGAAAAGAAAAATGATAATTTTCTGTGATGTAATAATGCCAAAATTCCGTTCACTTAGACATCTACAAAAGACAGAATTTCATTTCTTTTCTTACTAAGTGCTTACTTAAGAGTTTTGTTTGCTTGAGAGTGATTTCGTGGCAACAGTTTCACAACAATGATCAGGTCAGAACCAAAGGAAAAGGCAAATTCAATTGCAACATTTAAAATGAGATTTTGGACCTCTAGGTGGACCATCTATTTATTATTATTTTTTCTCATGTATGTAAAGCCAATAAAGGAAGCCTGCTCTGCCCAGTCAAAGACAAACTGTGAGCATACTCTGCCCACATATCACTCCTAAGGAACAGCATCATCTTAAGGGTTATGATGGGTCCACAAAATGTACTATAATAATTAGCATCCAGTGAACACTGTAAATGACTATTTAAATAAGTCCAAACAAGGCACAAAATTATACAACGCCATCAGTGCCATTGTAATTCTCCCTTTCTCATGACTCCCACACTCCACTTATGGAAGCCAGGTAGGAATTCCGACATGCAGATGGCTGATGCAGTAAGACTATGAGTTCTAGGCCAGCCTAGGTTACATCAAGACCTTGTTAGAAAAAGTGTGTGTGGGGCAGGGGATAGGAAGGGAGGGAGGGAGGGACGGAGGGAGGGAGGGAAGGAAGGAAAGGGAGGAAGGGAGGGAGGAAGGAAGGAAGGAAAGAAGGAAGGGAGGGAGGGAGGGAGGGAGGGAGGGAGGGAGGGAGGGAAGGAAGGAGGGAAGGAAGGAAGGAAGGAAGGAAGGAAGGAAGGAAGGAAGGAAGGAAGGAAGGAAGGAAGGAAGGAAGGAAGCATGCAAGGGGGAGGGTGGGCGAAGGCTGCAGGAAGACACAAAGCAAGGAGAAACTAAGTATTACATGTTCAAAGTAGCTGATTTTCAACTTGGCTTCATGAATTCAGTTCACAGTCTCTAGCTCATTTGAATAATCCAGAAAGAATGTATCTCTGATATTTACCATTACACCACTGACAGACTGTATCGCCAAAAATCCAGTTCCTTGTGGGGTGATAGGACCTTAAAGAAAACAGAAAAGAAAAATAGTAAACCACATTATTTTACTCCAACCCTCTTTCTCAAAGAAACAAATATTTAAGTTGGGGTTTCATGGCAGGAAATGAACAAAACTAAAATGACATAAGCCTAAATGGTATAAATTGATCTTATAATTATTATAGTCATAATTTACCCCAAAAAGTTGCTCCACAATGCATGTGCTGTGGGGTGTACTTTAGGAGCCTTTGTCTGCCATTGTGGTCTTCAATATAATACAGTGGAATGGTCTGAAATCTCCTCCATCCTACAGAAAAAATAATTGGGTCTCGAGACTTGAGGATTTTCTTATACCAACGATGTTTCTTGAGGCGCATCTAGAGACATAAACATTCAATAAAACAGAGTGTACAACCAAATGACTTGTCTCCAAGCATGCAGCAAAGGGTACCTACCTGCACATATCCCACAGTGCCCTCACTATTGCCCAAACCACCCAGAATAATTGGGTAGTGTGGGTCAAAGTTCTGCACGAATTCACAGGGGATGTTTTCAATCTCGATTCGGACATACATTCCAGGTCGAAAACCCTCATACTGAACTCTGGCTTCATCTTCTTGATCTTCAAATTCAGCATGGTTAAGCTACAGAAGAGATAAGGAGACAAAAATAGAAGCACAATAAATCCACACCACCAGTATTCTTAATCAACATTAAAGTTAAATTTTAAAGAATACAAAGGATCCATGGACACAACAATTTAGGTTTTAATGCAATGAAGTCATTTCATCTCTACACCTTAAGACACGTACCAACTGTATTTTCTGTTGCTCCAAGTCACAGTCACTGCCTCCAAAGGGTTCTCTGAATGCTGCTCAACAATGGTGCCCTGGCTATACTCTATCTCTCCCAGCTGTCAATCATTTTATGTAACTGCTCATCATCGGCCTTAGGCCAGCCAATCCATCCTCCCTTATCCTCACTCTTGGCTGTTGGCTGTTTCTGCTTCCAGTCAGCTGTGTTCTGGTGTTTGTACCCACACAGTCCTTTATTATAGCTCTGCGCTGTGATTAAGGACAAGTAACTACTTGGTAAAAAGCTTTTTATGGACACAAGATCTATGTAATCCAGGCTTGCCTTGAGCTTTGAATCCTCCCGCCTCAGCCTTATGAGTGCACGAATCACAGTTGCATGGCACCATGCTAGACCATAAATTAAGATTAAACAACATCTACAATACAGTTCTTCAGTTGCACTTGTACGTGGCTGTGATGCTGGGCACCATGGGAGGCAATCTACAGACTACAACCACACCTCTACCCAATTCTAAACTTTTGGCTCCCAAAAAAGTCTCCTTCCATTACTTTTCTCATCTTTTCAAAACCTTTTGAGTCCCCTTTCTTCACAAACTACTGTTCCATTTCTGTTTCACTTTGATCAAAACTCCAGTCTGTAGTCCATTAGCTGTTTTTCTCATAGCTGCTTTCACCTGCTATTGCACAGAAACGCTTGTCAGTCACTGCAGATCTTCACCATGCCTTATCCAGTGGTTGCTACCTCCCCTAGTATAGCTCCTATAGCAAGCAGTAAGGTCTGTATATACTTGCGGGTTTCTGGTGCACCTGCTCTTTGAAATTTCTGTCTCTTGGCCACTCTTAGACCTCATCCCCACCTCTACTCACACACATACTCCTGTTCTCCCTCTCTGATAACTTCTCAAGCTACCTTATGGCTTCAAGGAGCCTGAGCCCTGCGCATCAAGGCCCTTATCAAACTTTAACACTGCTTGTCTGTGCATCATCACTAACCTAAGCAGCACAAACAAAGCTACACTACCCAGAGGTTTCCTACCCTACCGTGAGAACCGACCCTTTCACTGTCTGCCCTTACATACAGTCCACCAGAAAGCCTACAGATTCAGCCTCTGGAAAAATTTACACCTAGACCTCACCTACTG